TAGTGGATTAAGGAGGAATAGTAACTTGAAATTTGAATATTCAATAGATCGGGAAGTTTAGATGATTTGTGAATTTATAAGATAAATGGTTTTGGTTTTGTTGCCGTTTTACCTGGCGATATGTACGGAAGGTTCGTAGATCGTATCTCGTACCGAGTAGGGNCGAGGGGGTACGCATATATGATAGGTTTGGGTATATGCAGACGTGTGTGCAGCAGCAGGTCCTTCTTGCCTGCTGCTCATGCTTGTCACTCGTTAATACCTCGTTAATAGTTAATCAAGGAACTTGAGTCACTCCTTTGTGCAACACGCTCTCGACAAGAGCCCGCGAGCGTGATAACATAGTACACGCGCCGACACCCCAAACACCCCCCTTGTCCCGCACTCAACCAAAATGAATGTTTGTCGACCACAGCGTACTACTACTGCTGTCTGAAGTGCTGTGTGCAATAATAACATGGTGCATGGTACACAAGCTCGGGGCATGCAGCTGCTGTCTGAAGTGCTGTGTGCAATAATAACATGGTGCATGGTACACAAGCTCGGGGCATGCAGCTGCTGTCTGAAGTGCTGTGTGCAATAATAACATGGTGCATGGTACACAAGCTCGGGGCATGCAGCTGCTGTCTGAAGTGCTGTCAGAATGATGAGTCCGTGGACATCCAATGAAGAAGAATAACAAACCAAAGCCATCATTGCAATTGACAATCACCCGAATCTATCCAGGTCATTTGTGTTAGGCCCAGGAGTGTAGAGTAAATGTGCTTATTAAGGACCACCCCCCCATTAAGGACCATTTTTTTTTACATGCATACCAGGCGCACGATTCGCCGGCCCCCCGTTGTTTTTTAGTTATTTGATCAGCTTTCCGTTAGCTTTCGTTTGAGCACTTCAGCGTGCCGATCGGCGCACGCAGGCCCGAGCTACAGCAACGCGCCCACTAGCAGTCTCGATGCGGCGCATTTTCGCCCTCGTTGGCCTCCTGCTGCCAAGCATGGGTCGGTGTAGAGTGAGCGCGGAGGCTGCTGCGAAGGCCTGTGNTTGTGTTAGGCCCAGGAGTGTAGAGTAAATGTGCTTATTAAGGACCACCCCCCCATTAAGGACCATTTTTTTTTACATGCATACCAGGCGCACGATTCGCCGGCCCCCCGTTGTTTTTTAGTTATTTGATCAGCTTTCCGTTAGCTTTCGTTTGAGCACTTCAGCGTGCCGATCGGCGCACGCAGGCCCGAGCTACAGCAACGCGCCCACTAGCAGTCTCGATGCGGCGCATTTTCGCCCTCGTTGGCCTCCTGCTGCCAAGCATGGGTCGGTGTAGAGTGAGCGCGGAGGCTGCTGCGAAGGCCTGTGAAGCGGTCCGCAGAAGTAGCACGTCACGCAACCCTGCTGCCGCTGCCTACGGGGTCAACAAGACGTCGCTCTCGCGGCGGCTGAGCGGTGAGTGTGCCATGGACGCACGGGTGGGCCCCGGGACTGTCATGACCGCAGCAGAGGAGGATGCGCTTGAAGACATTCTGCTGTACGCTGGTCGGAACTATATTCCGCTCACCACCGCAGACGTCACGGAGCGTGTGAGACAGCTCTGCAACGACGGTCGACCGATCCCGTGGACCCCTGACAAGGGCCCGGGGAGGAGCTGGCTTGAGGGCTTTTTCGGATAGCACGAGCGCATCAGCCTTCGACTCGCCCGCATCTACGAGTCCAGCAGGGTGACCTGCNAACACGGGCAAGTCAGGTGAGCAACACAGGGTAGTCGTGTGGTGTCGGCAATAGCTGCTGTGTGACGGATTGTGAGCTTGTTTCTACATTTGAGCTGCTGTGCACGACGTGACTGCGGCTGCTGTAAAAAAAAAACGAGTTTTCCCGCAGCGCGTGGTCTCCGCAGAGGACCACAGCTACATGAACGCGCAATTGCTGTCGTGTACGCTGGCTGCTATCTGTTCGGGATCCTTGTTCATGCCGGCAGTATGCACCCACGTTGCTTCAAGAGCAGTTTCGCATGCTGATACACATGATTTTTGCGCAGCACACACCCGGAATTGATGTGTGGGAAGGAGAAGCT